TTCCAGTTTCCAGCTCAGGTATCTTACTCCTCAGCACAATGTCCCAGGGCCTCAGAATGGGACCAGCTGCAAGACAGAGAAAAGGCAGCCTGGAAAGAGCAGGACTCTCTGTCAGGACCTTGGCAGGGCTGGCCCTGGCTTCTCATGCCGGCTTCCTGGGAAATAAGCCCACCGGGGCTCTCAGTGGACTGGCTGTGGCCTTGTTCCCACTGATGAATACAGGTGGGAACAGGAAATGAGAGGATGTGGAGACAAGGGTATGCTGAGCAGGGACGACTGGGGGTGATCAGGAACTTAGGTTGTCTGGACACACTTACCTGTCGGCTGGACTCTGCCAGCTTCTCTGCAGCAACTGGTTCCATGCCTTGCCCCTCTTATGAGAGAGGGAGGCAGCCACTTCTGCCTGCCTTTTGCTAAAGTCCCAAGGCTGACTTAGCCGTTCTGTCACTGTGGGCAGTATTCCTGCTTCTAAGATGGTGGTAGCAACAATGTCCTACCTGATCGGCCAGTCAAGCTAGAGGTTCCTATAGCTGTGGTGCCTGCCCCATGACGGGGCAGCTGCGGATGGGTAGTACGGAGGGATGGGATCACCATATTCCAGAGTATTATTTTGCATATGGCATTGTTACTACTTTCTACAGTTATACTTTTCACTCGCAAGTATAAATAAAAGAATTTAAAACATTGTTATAGCTACAGAATTAGTACTACCCATGTATAATGCACATCCTTATTTTCCCTTCAAAAATTTGGGCAAAAATGTGCTCATTGTATGTAGCAGAATACAGTTAACTTTTTCCAGATGATGGCAATTAACTTATAGATGTACAAAGCATTTTAGGATAACTTTGTAGGGGAAACTTACGCTTAAATGAAAAAATGACATTTTTATCATGAATTTGAGAAAATGGAAATGTTTTGAAACTAATATAAAGTTGCAACGAAAATTCTTTAGAATTTTTTTGACCTTTACAAATCTGATTCACAGAATTCCCAATAATAACATAATGTAATTTCCTGAAGAATTAAATTTTCTCCCATTATCTGTTTATTAGGAGTCTTTCAAAAGATTTGCATGTTAGTACAACATAAAGCATCTAAATCCTTTAAAACCTAGACTGTGCCCACTTAACAAGTAGTCTCTTCAAGTGACCTCAAGCTAATGTGTATACTACAGTAGAATTACTATGCTTCAGTCAGTAATGTTTAAAGTTTCACGACACTCCAGATTCATATGAAGTCTTTAAAGAATTAATTCCAAATCTTCCAAAATGTAATTTGAATTATGTATTTTCAGACTTTCCTAATGTACATTTTATGCATTGTTAATCTTTTTTACAGCTGCAAAAGAAGGAGCTGGTGCTGTCGATGAAGAGGACTTTATTAAAGCGTTTGATGATGTGCCTGTAGTACAGGTGAGTGAAGATATTTGCATGTGATTAAAAACAGGGGCAGACATATTCTTCAAATTTCATTTTTTAAATATGCCATATGCAGAGTTCTTTAGTAGGTCAGGTAGTTGTTAACTATAATATTAAGACTGTAGGAGAACTGAGGTACAGAGTAGAAGATGTTGGGGCAAAAATCAAGGATCAAGATGATCTTCCAGTAAGAACGGCGGAGATGTTGGTTGCTCTAGTATTACGTTTCTGAGTCAGGTCACAGAAAAGAGAAAGAAATAGATGGTTCGGCTAAATGAGAAAATAAAGACATGTTTATTTAAGGATTTTTCTAAATTTGAAGAATTTTGTTACCTGAAAAGCTGTAGAGAATGGTTTAATAAAAATGTAGTTCATATTTTCTTGGATGCTTTTTTAAAAAAGTATCTAACAGGTGAAACAAAGATTATTTATAAAACTTAGGATAATGACACTTTTTTTACTACTTTGTGCTTCTAATTGGAGCTAATACATTTCCTCAGCCACCATTGACTGTAATTTGGATTCCTTTAGCACTTATTATTCGTTATATACAACTGTCTTTGCCACTGTGGTTGCCATATGTATATAAAGCAGGTAACAATCATCTTAGGCCCAGGTTCATCCTTAAATACTTGACCTTCCAGCAGGCATCATGATTAATTATAGCTTAAATTTTTTCTAAAAGTAAGATATGGGGATATAGGAGAACATAGATTTGAAAGTGTTTAAAATTCTAGTTATAATGTGATGTTGTAAATAATACTGAGTGTAATAAATGACTTACGCATCTTTTACTGTTTTCCAGTAGGCTTCTTTCCCCTTCTCACTGCAGTCATCTAAGTTTATAGTAAAGCTATGTTGGAGACGGGGTTACTCACACATGGCAGGGAATCTAGTGTGGGTACACAGTTACAGGGGGAAAGCAGCTCATTTCTAAGGCATTTTCTAGTTATTGACTCACAGGTATTTCTTAAAAATGAAATAATTCTTTTATTCTACTTACTAAATGCTCTTGACTCATGATTAAGAAGCAATCTTTGTTTATTCTGCAAATGTTTTTATATTGATTGTAAATTAATTTTGTTTACAGATTTATTCTAGCCGAGACCTTGAAGAGTCCATAAACAAAATTAGGGAAATATTATCTGATGACAAGCATGACTGGGAGCAGAGAGTAAATGCTGTAAGTCATTGACTTCATGTGATTCCATTTTTATTAGATTTATTTAAATATCCCAAATACTCTTATGAAATTCAAGTAGCTCTTATAAATTTTAAATAGCATATATTTTAAATATAAATTGCTGTGTTTGTACCTTACCTTTTTAGTAGAGTACTTTATTGCTGTTTTTATTTTTAAAACATACCAACTTACACCTTTTTATATACCTCCTGTTCTTCTAAGAAAGACCTAATTGTGGAGTGTCTGATGATGGCCTCCACTCTAACTAGTAAAGAGGGTCTTCTGTGATGATTTGCTAGTAAAGCAGTGTTTTAGTTCCTCAGTGTTCCTTTCTT